GACAGACGAAGCAGATTTTTCCCCGCAGTCGGTTGCCATTTCTTTCTGCAGTGGACCTGTTACTATCCAAGACTAAAGAACCCGGTTTGTCCTGCTACTTATTTATTTATTTATCCATAGCTGGGTGGAGAAGAAGAGGATTCAATCCTTTCTCTTGAATGTAATGAATTCGACTGGAATTCGAACTCGGCTCTCCGATTCCTTAATCCGAGCCGCTATTCATTCCTCCACCGCACCTCCTCCCTCGAATTTACTCTATATTAAAACACAATCTATTATAATTGCATTACGGTAAATGATTACATACAAAGGCCAAAAAATGCGCATAGATTTCAAAATAGGTCGTGAATCGTTGTTACTCAGATCCTATATTAAAACATTGGATATTTTCCATTCAACCATGCTTGTACTCTCATATGTACACGATTGTGTAATCAGCGAATAATATCTTGTAATAAATTATACCATATCTTTTGCATCTTCTAATTCTTCTTCTTTATGTGCTGTGTCCCCTCAGGACGTTGGAGATCATGGCCCTCCACACTTATCTGTCTTTTGTCATTCTCCATTTCGTTATTTCTCCTAAACCCTGTTCCGCCATCCACTAACTCAAGCTTCAACGTTGCTCACATGTTTGGTCCATGGTATTCTCAGCATCCTTCTGCAGAGCCACATTTCGTCTCTTCTTTATCTTTGAGGAGTTTGTCCAGTATTCACTGCCATATAGGGAGACATATATCACGTAACAATTCAGTACGATTTTCTACAGTAAACGTTGTAACTAGGTTAAGCGTCGTACCATTGTTCAACAGCGCGATTACGTCGGCCGGGGAAGTTGTCAAATATTTCGAAGAACGAGTTGAGTAGCACGACCATTATGTGGGCGGGAATTATCCCGCTGTAACGACATATTAGCTTCCTGTTACAGGAATGGCAGTAGAACAGGTTAAGTAATTATGCTCTAGACGTATATGACGCAGTTTAATGTTTCCTCGCCAAACACCAAAGCGAGATAGATTTGTAGCTTATAGCATTCTATGATGCCAGGGTCTGCGCCTGCGTGTCTTGGATAAATAAACTCTAGAACATATCTTCCCCCAGGTCACACGACCATCATCTGAATGAAAGCAAAATCTGCTATTATCACTGAACGCTACACTCCTCCAGTTGACACTCCTGCGACATCACTGTGGATGTGTATGATGGCGTGAAATTCTGTCTAGAGGTATAAATACCTGTAGTCCTGAGTTTGCATCAGGACTAAAGACACCCATACCTTTCAAAAGATTCTTAGTCAAGCCATATTTGCTTTGATCTCTGCTATCATGTCCATGCTTTACTCTTGGCGAGCATCAATATTACGTAGACGTCCAGAACATTGTCTACTAGTGTTTGAATGTCCATGTAACCACTCTTGCCAATATCGAAGCAACGTAATTCTCCGAAATGATTAACCAGGCCCGCAATTCGACCTCTCTCAAATGGCTCTGACTAAAGAAAAGAACACGTGTGCATCTCTATTGCAAGACATGCGCTTGCGCTGGATATTTTAATCATATTGAAGCTCATCGCAATATGCCTCAGCGTCTAAACCTCAGATACAAAGTAATGGTCACAAGTTATCTACTCTCCGTTGATTGCTTTGATTGATAGATTTTTTTTTTGTTTTTGTTTTTTATGTCTTATCAACCCTTTGTGGCTTATTTACAACAGAAACATATTTTGGATTGGAAGCATACTTCTTTCACGCGAGTGAATATTGCTTGAAAATGTTTTTGTAGAATGACAATATTTTCCAAGATACAAGTCCCACTATTTAACCTATATCTGGGGGAAAAGAGATGGATTCATACTTTTTATTTGCGCGTAAGTGAATATAACTAACCTGATCGGAATTCGAACTCGGCTCAATATTTTTTCATTCTGAGCCGCTATCCATCATACAAAATTGCGTATACATCAGATAGAATCAATAAATGTTCAGTGGACATATCTCTTTTGACTGACTTCATAGTTTCGCTAATACTGATGAGCGGTATTGCACGAAACGCTGGAGTTAGTTAAATGTGATAACTTCATTGAACATATACAGGTTTGTTGAATATTGTCACTCTAATTATCTGTTGATCATTTTTGTTGGAAAAATTCTTCTAGCCTTAAAATGCATTATATTTTAGTAATTTGTCTTTATGTCGTATATATATATATATATATATATATATATATATGTGTGTGTGTGTGTGTGTGTGTGTGTGTGTGTTTTCTTATGTCTCCTTCTTTTGTTCCTCCTGTTTGCCAATATTTTTCCGTTCATTAATTTACTGTCATTTCTTAAAAACAAACATATCTTTCTAAAATAAAAGTAAAGATAAAAATCAACATATGAACAAAATGAATCAAGACTATAAAGATTATGGCGGAGACGAAAATCTGTTTATTTTTGTTTCTGACGTGAGGTTGAATTCCACAGACATGTGCAATATTTGTTGTAACCGCGTTCGGAAGACGCTGTACAAAGGCTTATCGTGTCTCTGGGAAGATGGAAAAAGAAAATGACTTGACTTAGATTACTGTTTGTGCCTTTTAAAATGGTTGAATATTTATTATTTTTCTTTTAGATAATATGTGTTCGTTCTTTTTTTATCAGGAAAGCAATATATTTTTTTTATTGGGGAACAGGTTCTTTATAAATTGTGATTGTACTATTAAATCGTCAAACCCGAATCATTTGCACATCTCAGCTAATTTACAACATTGACATGATAAATTAATTAAACTGAAATACCAAACCAAAAGAAAACCAACTACTTAAAACATGTTGTTTCTTCCTGACCTTGAATAACGACGACTACGAAACGTAACCTGATGTCTAGAGTCGTTGCGAGGATAGATATATCTTCGAACCTTCCAAGACTCTTTACGACTAAGACGTGATTGTTTGGTGTATCTGAAGGGAACTTAGTAAGGTTTACAACAAATCCCAAACATGCTCGATTACGAACCCAACTAGGTATCCAGCAAACTATTGTACAACGAGTCATTTCTGAGAATCGTGGAACCACCTTTTAATTACTGTTGCTCCCAGGTCCACCTTGACCCGGGTAGTAGTACTTGTTAGGGTCCCAGCTATGGGCAAATAGGGAAAACAAAATACTATAAAAGTATAAAAATACAATTTTATAGCAATTTATAATAGAATTTTATCTGTAGTTGAAGGCATACAATTACTTTTAAAATATATTTAGTTGAAGACATAAAATTGTGTCTAAATATTTTGATTTGGGCATTAAATAACCCCTGGAAGTTGATATGCCACTAAACAAAATCAATTATTTTTTCTCACCGAAGTCCATATTTAAGATTTACAAATCTACCATTCGACCGTACATTGAACACTGCTGTTATATCTGGTCTGGTGCTCCTGCTATTCAGGTAGGAACAAAGAAAAGAGTGCTGAACTCTTATGTATTATCAGTCCTCTATGGCCGTGAATGCTGGATAATCTCCTCACAGATGAAGAAGAAACTTGAGGTAACAGACATGTGATTCGACAGAAGGATGCTAAAGATGCGTGTAACGAGGAAGCCATAATGAAAATGGAAACAAAAATGATACCGATACCTAAGATCAAAAAGAGAGTTAAAATTTCTAAGGACACATGATGAGGAAAGACAGGTTAGATTTGATTCATTGTTTTTTACACCTTATCAAACTTTTGGTGGTTATTGAAAAACCGGGAAGTACTTTTAGATTGTAAGAATTTGGGGGAGATAATCATGATTTACTGATACAAGTCGTACTAATTAACACATAGCTATGGGGAGAAGAGATGAATTTATACGTGTCTCAAGGCTATTTGCGTGTAAGTGAATATAATGAACTCAACTCCGTTTTCTGATTCCGAGCAGTTATCCATTAGACCCCTGCACGTCCAAGCTTACAACAACGTCCTGACAATACATGGCACATAGCGGAAAAAGAAGAATATTCAAGATTGAAATATATATTCAGCTTTTTTATATAAACGCTAGATTCCCCCCTTGTTTTTTCTTAAAACAAAATTTATTCATTTATTTGTTTCGCTTACTGTCACCAATTTATTCCTCTGATTTATTGCTTAATTTTTCGTTTTAGTTACAGTATGTAACTAGTTATAAAAGTTACTTTTTCGACATCTTTTTTTTTTTATCAGGGTCGTCCTACCGTTTTTGTTATCCATTCCGGGAATCTTTGGGCGAGGTAATCATTTCACCGCAAGCAAGGCAATAAAGCCAACTAGGACGCAAGTCGTTACTGATTATTAGAGAATATGAGAAAAAAATGCTATTAAGGAGAGAGGACAATAAAAGAATAAAAACTAAGACGACAGAAGATAGCGATTGGCCTTGCATTAAATTTTTAAAGATCAAAATTGACAGGAAAGCAAGAAGCAGAAAGAGAGTTCCATGAGCGAAAAGTGTGATAGAAAAAACTGTTAGTATAGAACTTACGGTTACACCTAGCCATTTCAATTCTAAATTAGTGGGACCTCCCCGCCAATCTAGTACTGCGCTTAAATTTATAAAGTCTAGGTACCATAGAGGAAAGTTCGTCTGCACAATTACCATGAAATTATCCAGCAAGGGAAGTTTCCATCAAGAATTCAGGTAACTGTTTAGCAAGCCTCTTATGTAGGAATCTTTTGACTCTATCATGTCCTTACGCTTTCCAATTTTTATTAGAATTCTTAACCAAGTATCTAAATTTATCTCGATGTTACGCGCATCTTCTATTCTGTAAAGCACATTTTTATGTTCTTCTGCTATTCCGATAGTGTTATCATATCTATTTCCGCATTTAACAGAACTTCTCCTTTTACCTGTTCATCTACACATTCATCCCTAAAATGTGCGTTACGCTTCCAGTATTCCGGCGAACGGAATCCTTCAAAGAAGAATAAATACTCCACTCACCTTCAAACGGATTGGTTCTACTTTCACACGTTACTCCTGGCGTAAGGCTTACGGCTACATCATGTTGAAACACCGGTTTCCATACGATCGCCGAAGTTAAGCAACGTCGGGCCTAGTCAGTGACCGCTTGGGAATACTAAGAGCTGTAAACTTGGATGTATGGTTGATGTTATGGACAATGGCTGGGAATTGTTAATCGGAAAGCTGCGTTCCAATTTCCGTTCGTTATATTTACTTACATGCATTGGAAACGGTATAAACACACCTCATCTCTTTTTTAACGTTGAGGTTCACCCTGGCGCCACTCGAGGTAGAGTAAGAAGAGGGGAAGATAACGCTTAACTCTAGACTTCCTTCTGTATTCTATGGGTAAGAAGTAACCAACTCCCTAGAGAAGGAATAATAGTGGTTTGCTACATTGCGAGTGGTATGGCAGGTCCTGACCGTGAAGTTTATAACCAAGGAATGCAGCTCGTCCGAGCACTTTCCATGCAAGTAACGATAAAATAGTGCGAGGCATGCCACGTCCCCCAACATATGAGTTAATTAGTTACACTTGTATATTCTCCACATATCTATGTGTTAATTAGTAAGATTTGTATCATTATCTCCAGAAAATTCTTACAATCTAAAAATGTTTCCTGGCTTTAAATAACCTGAAAGGTGTTTATAAGCCATAGAAAACAAATCAGTCAATCAATGAACGCCTTAGCGTGCCCTGGGGCTCCAGTTGAGAAATCCTGGTTTAGATATTGTTTCCTTTGATCCTGAAACGTTTCTTTTAACATGCACATGTCATCAGATTATTTGAATTGCAATTATTTTACCTTTTGATTTCGTAATCAAGTATATATAAAATTGATTTACTTCTTTGTGAGAAAAATGAGTTGTTCTGACGAAAAAAAGGTCAAGTTATATGTTATTATGTTCAGGGAAAGCAATCCCGAGTGCAGGAGTTTGGGACAGTACCTGAAAAACCATACCACGAATTGACCTAAGCCTTGTGAATGAAACTGGGTTGACGGGACTATTTGTTAGTCGTCGATGGTCGTGTAAGCATGAATTCACAAATCATCGTGACTTAGGGTTTCAGTATATTGGCCATGTTCAGACAGTTGATCAAGCTCTCTCTAAGAAACTGTAACAAAGGTCCGCTCAGTATAGTTGCAGTACAAATCACAGGTGGTTTCTGTGGGTGTTGAACAAACATAAATGTGCCTTTCGGGTATCTGCACAACAGGGATTGGTTCTCTGCCCTAGTAGACAGACATACTCTGATACCAACGGCCAGCCATTACATATATATATATATATATATATATATATATATATATATATATAATAAAAATAACCAGGATATTTTCAAGTAAATTTGTACAGCTTTGAAAAATTTTAATGAAACCGTTCTCAACATTAAAAAACAACTGCTTGTCCATATTAGGTGATTCTTGGCCATTTACTTCCATACTGGCGGCTTCCAACGAGTCTTTGGTATAGTATGGCTGTTGGTTGATGTCGTAGTCCAGAGAAGTGAATAAAAAGATCTATGAAGTTAAATGTTACGATGACACATTCTCACCTGGAGTCCAATAAAGAAATCTGTGAGGTTAAATGTTGCAATCTCAGCTAGACTCGGCCGCTGTGTCCAGTCCCTCGTTATAAACAGTGACATTGACCCTCATCATGCTTTGATGGATGGGCAATTAGCCTAACGGTTACCAATGTGGAATCGGCTAGCCGAGTTCGAATTCTAGCCTAGGTTGTTACTTTCACATTTGCATAAATTTTTCAAGAATGGCATAGTTCTATCTTTTCTCCTCAATTTCCCAATTATAGGTCATATAGAAGAGTAGACTAAGCTTTCTAACATTGGTTGGCAACCAGTCTAAAAGAAGACCTACCTTTCGTGGAATGTCATGGCAACTTCCAAATAATAAAATAAACGGAACCTATGAAGAGGCATGATCGTACATGTAGTTACGGAAAACGACATTTTTTTTTAATTACTTTTTTGCCGGATTCTCGAAAATTGTATCGGTTTAATGTACTTTCTAATTGGTCTGAATGTTCTGATGATAATGTATTATTTATTTATTATCAATTAATGATTAACTTCATTGCATTTTTACTTTTACGTGTCTCCTTTTTATGCATGGGAACTATGTAAATATATTTCCATGCATGTGATTCATTATAAAATTGAATCTGCCATTGTTTAATCATAGAAAGAGACTTTTTTTTATTGGTTCATGCATTGTTGCCTCTTAGCTTCTGATACTGAGCGCGTATGAAAATGCGTGCTTTCGGATACATCACCGTTTGAATAACTAATAATGAAAGAAAAAGAGCAGTTCTGTAGATGTACATGTGTATGAGCGAAGAAGACGGGGGCAGTTTTTTTATGTCTGCTAACATTACTCATCGCCGGAATTCATAAGCTGGGCCAGACTGATATTAAAGTTTATGTCTTTAGAGATAAAACCAATATTTGTCTAACTGTGTTTTCCTTGAACTGCAAATAAAGTGTTGGATTCTTAAAGGTTGAATTACAAGGTAATAGTGTTTTCGGAACAATATCCTTTAAGAGCACATTTACCAAGAGCTTCAATTTATACACAGAAAAACATGCATACAAAATAACTATCAAACAAACCTGATACGAAACAGTAACAGGAATCTCTCAGTCTCGGAAGAATATAAAATCTACAGTAATGTGCCTTTCTGTTTCTTCAACATGCAAAAATTCAGTCTGCAACTATGCAGACATTAGTTACACTTTCTGGGAGAGAGCGTATAATCTAGCATGATCAGTACTTGAAAAATGCTCGGTTGTTTTTTTGTTTTGTTTGTTTCTTTGTTTGTTTGGGTTTTTTTGTTTTTTAGCGACATATTAACCATTTCCAGGTTATATAATGCAGAAATTTGCGCACCTCAAAGCGGTGTAATGGTTAGCAAGCTTGTCTTGCTAGAACAATTATGACTAATTAGTGAATTCGATCCTCACTGGGTACCCCATAATTTCGGCCTTGTGCCACATCTAAGCTACGCTTGGAAAATCTCTATATAATGCAGAAATCTAAATATTTTGTACGGAATTTTATTTTATTTTTGGAAATAATAATAACGGTTTAGTGACACGTCTTATTAATTAACCCATAGCTGGGGGGGAAGTGGGGGAATTCATACTTTCCCAATGGTATTTACGCGTAAGTGAATATTATAAACCCACCTAGAATTGGAACTCGGCTCTCCGATTAACAATTCCAAGCAATTAGACATTACACCACCCACACAACAAAACTTACAACACCTGGTATTCATAAGAAAAACCTATCTAAGTACTGGTTGCTTAACTTCAGTGATCGTACGGGAACAATTGTTTCAACATGATGTGGCTTTAAGCACAACACTCAGTCATGATAACTTTCAGCTAGCGTAACTATCGACGGTTTCTGAACAGTTCCCTCTATCAGATTTCTCTAAAAACTCTCGGTACAATCTGTCGGTATAAATCTTCGAACATTATTTAACGATGCTGCGCTCGGATCTTCTCCAGAGATCGATATTATCAAAAAAATAACCTCTTTGATTTAACCGACTATAGCGCGAACCGAACGTTCTAACCATTCAGCGATTCACCCATATTTCGGAAACTATATCCGTCAGCAAGGTCTCTAATCGGGAGGTTTTCAGGAGGGTGGAACCACCTCTTAATTGCTTTTGTTCCAAGTCCATCCTGACCCGGGGTTGTAACACCTGTTAGGGTCCCAATTATGAATAAATTGGGGTCTATACATTATGAAAGTATAAAAACAGATTTTTATAGTAAAAATACCAGCAATACATTTTTTTTAAATATTACTAGCAATACATTCTTTGAAAAAAATATTATCAGCAATAGATTTAACTCTCGACAACCCCCTTTACAAAATACGTCAATGAAACCTAATCTACAAACTGATTTCTTACAAAGAATACATATTTTGTTCATACGAACCTATCCTAAAAATGTTTTCGGCATTAAATAACCCATAGAGGTTGTTATACCGTAAAAAATAAACCAAACCAAACCATAATACAGAACTGCCGCAAACATCGATTAGTATATTGTATTGAAATATCATTGCGTATATCCATAGAAAAAACACAAAAATAATAATTAATTTAGTAAAATCCGATATGTCAAGTTGCACAGTTCAACCAATGTTATTCAGTTTCTCTAAGACTTTTTCACTTAAAAAAAAAATCCCCATTGTGTTTAAATATCTCACACTGACAACAGAAGATTTATGGTTAAATGTCGTAAATTTATTTGTAATGTTAATTTATCACGGAAATCAGTACACTTTCCCAACATCTTCATTTTAATAAATTGTATTTAGTATTAAGTGTTTTATTGTTTTAAAAGACCTGAGAATATAATCCATTTTAGTTCAAAGTGTAAACTAGAGAAAGCAGAATAAAAAAGGTTTTAGATAACACTTTATTTACTACTCTATTATTTAAAATAATGACATGCTAAAATTGAGCCCCATTTCATAAATATTTATTTACAGCAAATGATTAATTATTGTAAAGAAAAAAATTGGCCTAAAAACCGATAAGCAGAAAGTATTTTCCAAACGCATAAAAGCAGTTCAAATTATTATATCCGCAAGCTTAAATTATTAAACACGGAATATCATAGTGAAGGTTACATAACAAAACTAACATATTTAGGCCTTGAGTAATTGAGGTGGCGAACATGCGAGCATATATGTACGCTCCAATACATGTTGATTTCAAATTCACTGACAATGGCAGGACAAATTTTAGTCTGAGTTCCTCTTCTAATTTTCTATTATTTCCTGTCTCCTACTAATTTTGTCCTCGATTTGTACAAGCTGCACATATATAATTTAGACAACTTCCTATTCTCTCTCTCTCCCAGTCTTACAGCAGAAAATACCAGAATATTCATCTTTGATGTCCTCTCTTACAACAGGCTCGTGAAGCACATGAACAGAATCAAGTTTTCAGAATCAGAAATTTGTGTATTTTGGGAACAAAACTTCTTCCATACATACATATATACATACACATACACACATAAGGAGACGCACTCAGGCACAAACATATCAGTATAATGTCGTACTGAAAAGTCATCGGA